TCTAAACTTAGGCTAATTTAAGAAAAACACCCCCACATATTTGTAATTACCAAAATTTCTCTGATGTTTATTTCCGTCTTACATCAACCCTCATACAGTTTGACTTTTCACAAAAAAAAAATATAATTATTACTTGGTATATTCCCCGAAAAATATTGATTCTACCTTGCACACACGACAAAAATTACCATAAGGGAGACACACGGAATCTTAATTTATTCTTCTAAATAACACTTTCACAACTTTTTAATATTAGAACTACCTCCCCAAGGGTAATTTAAAAAGTAGGATAAAAGAAATGTCACGTCTAAAGGATAGAATCCACATTTTTTTGGGATATTACATGGAATAAAAAAGACCGTAAAAAATCACTTCTTAAGGGGGTCGTGTAAGATATAAACAAACATAAGGGAATTTTGGTAATTATCGATAAATGGGGGTGTTTTCCGCAATTTAGCCAAAGTTCATGAAAAAATTCATTATCTATCCTATTAACAAGGATTATTGTTATTTTTAAGTTTTAACGTTTCCTTATACCCTTATAATTTAAATAATTTTAATGTCAGTTTGATAATATAATTAAATATTAATTTCTAATATATTTAATATGTGTTTTTGAATGCTTCACCTACCACACATAAGGAAGTTGATATAAAGGTTGCGAGATTGAATATAATTGTTTTTGATATAAAATAATAGATCATTGCAACAAACATTGATACAAAATCAGAATTAGGATTGTGATTAGTATTAACATTAGAATTAGGATTATAATTAATATTCTTTGAATTAGTATTAGTATTAAAACTAGAATTAGGATTCTGATTAATATAGTATTAGGATTTATATTAGGATTAGGATAAGGATTATGATTAATATTAGTATTAGAAATTTAGAATTACAATTAAGATTATGATTATGATTAGTACTAAAATTAGTGACATGTATTAGGATTATGATTAGCATTAGAATTAGAATTATGATTAGAATTAAGATTAGAATTATAATTAGAATTAACATTAGCATTAGCATTCCCATTAGCATTAGCATTATTAGTATTAAAATTATTAGGGTTAGGATTAGACTTATGATTAGTGTTAGGAATATGATTAGGATTAGAATCATGATTAGTGTTATGAATAGGATTAGGAATAAGATAAGGATTTGGATAATATTAGGATTACAATTATAATTAGCATTAGCATATCCAGATTAGCATTAACATATGTAAATTAGCATTAACAATATTAACATATTAGTATTAGTATTAGAATTAATATTTGTATTAGTATTAGTATTAATTAATATTAGTATTAGTATTAGCATTAGCATTGGTATTAGCATTAGTATTATTAGTATTAGTATGAGTATGAGTATTAATATTAGTATTAGTATTAGTATTAGTATTAGCTCGCTTCGCATTTTTTTTGTAATATTTAATTGAATTTCATATGTTACAACTCTGAATTAATAGATAAATTTTAAGTTTTTTTTTTATTTCCTTCCATTTTGTTATACTTGAATTCGTGACGTTATAAAGAGATAATCGTTTCCATATTATTATTTTTTCTTATTTCAAAACTGACCCCGTGCAACGCACGGGTGAAGTACTAGTTGATATTGACAATTGCATGATTTGCTTCTTTACGAATTAATTTATGGTCGTAAATTGATATTGATATTACATGATTATCAAATGTTGTATCAAATATTGAAAACCAACCGATTGCACCCTTAACATGCCCTTACGTGCTCCTCCTATTGTTGCATCTCCAGCATAGTCGCTGTTACTATAGCCAACCAAAACCTTATATGAGATAAGATCCCGTATTCTCGAGTCCCTTTCAAGTATCTGAGAATTCTTTTAGCATCAGCAAGGCGCAATTTGCATAGGTCTTAACATTCGACAAGTTCGAGAATAAAAAGTTTCGGATAATCCATCTAAGCATTTATCAAGTTTCATTGCTGCTGGATCTAGAGTCGAGATACCGTACTACTGGTGTAAGCCTTTCTGTACTCTCTACACTGGCCGTTGACTACAATTCTTCCTTTGTTTCGTTCTAGTGTCCTTTCTTTATTTGGATCGTGTGACAATGGTAGCACTCAATATAGCTGCTCTCGTTAAATGAATTCATTAAGCGTAAAATAGATTTACATAGCTTAAATAAAGTCGATCGCGACATTATTTTGAAGCAGTTGTTGAATCTGATATTCTTGATCCTTGTGATTTTTATTTTCCTTATGTGGAATTAATTGTGGCTTGATGCTTCCAGTACTAGTTTTCGAATTTCTAATCGTTCAATTGGCTTCTCTCGTGTTCTAGGATGACATCTGCTGTTGCTTGGAATTTGCTGAACTACCACTGCTGAACTACAACTTCTTCTTCAAAGCTGCTACTTGGAGGGATCTTTCTGTCGATATTGTTCATAAACACACTGCGCATTAACATCTAATTAGTAGCCATTAATACTCAATTGGCGATTTACCAAAAAAAAAAAAAAAAGAATTTCGTAAGTATTAGGAATATTTTACTACCACTTCGTCTTTAAAGCATTTCTCTGTTGTGCTGCTACTTGGAGGGATCTTTCTGTTGATACCGTTCATAAACCTACTGCGCATTAATACTCATTGCCGATTGCCTAAGTATTAGGAATATTTTACCTGTATTGATTGAGAATATTTTCGATTGTATCTACGTTGACTGAGGTGTTTACCAAGCTTAATCTCCACAGTGATTAGTGATATCTTTGGGATCATGATAAAGGTTGTGATTGGAACTTCTTTTCTTCCCTTTCTTTTTTATGCTTATTTTTTCAATAAATTTTCAGTTTTGTTTACCAATTTTAGTATACTAGCAGTATCACTCGTGCGTGCGATGCACCACGGTATATTCATAATTAGAGGAGTGTTAGACTAAACTTATAAGCTCTTCAGAACACCTAATTTATCGATTTCGTTATTGGAAAAAAGAAAAAAAAAACATTATTTCTGCTCACTCTAACCATAAAAAAGGAATGCTATTATTGTTGGAATCTCAAATAAAATGTAACGGTAAAACATTACAAATAAATAAACAGTAAATTCCTCAAGAACTGAAAATGTCTTCATAGCCTCGTCAACTCTGTTTGTCTGACACAATCCAACGAGCCAAATATTATAAGGCCCCGAATCGAGATCGGAAGCAACCGGAGTCTTCTTCCATACACAGATGGCCTCGGTTTACATCCGTTTTTCATTCATTTGTTGGAATAGTTTATAAGCATCTCCTTCTCTGTCTACCCTTTGAAGCCCCTGTATAAGCGTTGCATATGTTATTGAATCTGCGAAATGCCGTTTTAGTTGATCAAAGAGTTGTATGTTTTATCAGCAAGCAGCTTGTAATCTTTGACTCAAATCCGAGTTGACTAAATTCTCCACCTCCTTTTGCAGGCTCGCACTGTCAAGAACGCGTGGTCAGTGCTTTGAGGAAAAGCCGAAGAAACATTTTGTCAAAATATTTAACCTTCCAATCTTTTCTTGCAGATATATATCACACTATCCTAACTTATCCTCAAAAGCATGTCAACAATCAAATTGTGTGAAACCCGACTTATGAGGTGCGCTCTTTCGGCAGCCCAGATGTAGAATCGGAAACAAATCCGGGGTTCTTTCTTCAGTTGAGACTGAGACCAAAGGACTGAAATTTCAACTTGGCGATTTAAAAATGGAGCTAATTTGCCGAGGGCCTGCTGGATGGGGTGCACGGAGTTGATTACGGCGAGGACTTCGTTGGCAATGTTGGAATTCTCGAGGGCATTGTATTATCCATCTCATTCACAACCTTAACACGCGTTCTTGAATTTATTTACTTTGCAGAGAGCACTAATGAAGGCGCTATATACTGTCACATTTGAAGGAAAGCATCTATTGCATTCCCGATTCTATTTTCAATACTGCACGCATGTATAAGAACACTATAGATAAAAGACGTGGGCTGACAGCCACTGAACTCCATCTCTTTACCAACTTCAACCGCTTCGTTTGTTCTTCCAGCCTTGCAAAAATGTCGACCATGATTCAATATGTCACAATATCCGGATTGCACCCCGAGGAGTCAACCATTTCTGTAAAAAAATTCCCTAGCTTTCGGTAAATTCGGAGCCCTTCCCCAGCCTTCAAGCAAGATGCTATAAGTTTTTCGAATCGGAAGAAAATTTGATTTTTCATTGCATCAAATATCTCCAGAGAGATTTTCTAATATTCTTCGACTACTTACTTCTTCGGAAACCCGAATGCCACTCTGGTCAAGAGCAGTATCGAGGCCAAATACAATCTTCTAGACACATAGAAACAACTATTGCGGCGTGAAGTTTCAAGGCCATAATGGAGGAGTAAGCAACCAAGTAAGCATTTTATCAAACACATGGCGGGCAAAAGAAATTACAGACAGTTGTCATTTACTCAATGAAGATCATTTTTCTTCGATCTCGTATTGAAGAAAACAACATGAAAAAGAAAGATCACACGTGATGAGAAAATTTGAAAGTTATTTATCGTTTCCAAAATTAAAATTGGATTATGATGAAGTTTCAGAAAAATTCTGAGTTCATTTCTCTTTGATTATATAAGATTGTAAATTGAATTTTAATTTGATTATTAGTCGAGTGGTGGTTTAAGATTTAAATTGAACAATTATTTTATTATTTATTTTGAGTCGAGTTTTATATTTTGGCAATTTCGACCCCAAAACGTTTTTCCCTTATTTGCAATTCGACCCCTAGTCTTTAGCAATTAATAGTACCGCCACAAAGTTGGTGAAACAATAAAATAAAACTGAAATCCGGCCATATTTCTTTGAATTCTTGTTAGTTTTGAAAATTGACACGTTCTCAATCATTAATGTATGCCCAGCTGATATTTTTTTAATTTTTTTTAAAGATTTATATAAATTATCCAAGACAAAAATTGTATATACACGTTAGAGAGAGAAAGAAGAGGTGGGGTCGTTGTTGAAAGAGAGAGAGGTTAGAGAGAGAAAGAGCGAGAGAGATCATAAGTTTCGGGAAGTACTTGAAAATCGGCACATTGTTCTTCCGAAGGTAAAAAATTCCGACACCCCTTTTTCTCATGCTATAATCAAGAAACAGGAAATAGAAAAAAAATAATATGACATTCTTGAATTTGTAGCGGTTATCTGTGTTACCCACGATCAAGGTTTGTGAAGCTAATTTAATATGATCACTATTCTTGAACCCATTTTATAGAATGTTAAATTTTTATGAACAATTTAAAAAAACAAATAAAAAAAATTATGCCCATTTTATTGAGTATCAACGAATCAAGATTCTTGAAGGTATAGAAAAAAATGAATTTCTTTTCTTTGAATGGTTTTTTATATGCCCAATTTATTGAATTTTCTCTATTCGCTTTTCGGGTTGATGGAAATTGTGTTTTTGATGTGAGGTTTCTAATTCTTGGATATGTATGTATGTATGTATGTATGTATGTATGTATGTATGTATGTATGTATGTGCAGGCTGGTACAGGCATTGAGGAAGTGCCCGCTTGATCGTGTACCAGCCTTCCTTTCCCTTCTTCGTCTCGAGAATCTCGACTTTTTTTGTTTTTCGTTTCGAGATAAAGAAGGGAAAGAAAGCTTGGAATTTCGAAGGCTGGTTGGTTTGTAGAAAAAAAAATAAAAAATAAAAATGAGTGTTGTTTCGGGTGTGATCTCGAGGCAAGTTTTGCCGGCATGTGGCAGCCTTTGTTTCTTTTGCCCCTCTATGCGTGCTAGGTCTCGGCAGCCTGTCAAGAGGTACAAAAAGTTGATTTCCGATATTTTCCCCCGATCGCAGGTGCGCTTCATCGATCACATGTTTTTATTTAACATCGTACTTTGGTATTAAAATTGTTTATAATGGCCAACAATCGTTCGTTTTGCTATATAGGAAGAAGAGCCGAACGACAGGAAGATCGGGAAACTATGTGAATATGCTGCGAAAAATCCTTTGCGTATTCCAAAGGTAATATTTTACCGTATTTTTCATAATCATTAAGTAAAAAAGGTGGTATAGTTCTTCTTCTTACTTGATTCTTTGACTGTTTATCGAAAATCGGTTTTTGGTCTAATCAATTAACGAATAAATTGCAGATTGCAGAGTCCCTTGAGCAAAGATGCTATAAGGAGTTGAGAAACGAAAACATTCGATCGGTGAAAATTGTCATGTGTATTTACCGGAAATTGTTGGTATCTTGCCGGGAGCAAATGTACGTCTCCGTCTTCGTCCACTATTGTTATTTCACTCATTATCGAATTTTCGTCATTTGTTTTTTTTTTTTTTTTTGTTTTTACGACGACAGGCCTTTGTTTGCGAATAGTGTAATGACGATCATGCAAACCTTGCTTGATCAAGCAAACCAAGACGAGATGTTGATTATCGGATGTGAATCGCTCTTTGAGTTTGTAAACAATCAGGTCGGTGTCTTTCACATGCAATAAGATTCTAGTTTCGATTTTTTTCTTACC